ATTGTATTTTATTATCGCAGGGCTTAAGGAAAAATTGGCTCTTAAGAAAGGTTAAAAACCTTTAAAGTGAATTCTTCTGTTTGGTTAAAAGTACTTTTGATTTAATATGATCCATCTGCAATGTGGGCCTGGCCTCCTCCCCCCTGGGGAACCGGGCGATGCCCACGGGACCAGGACAGGGCAGCGATTCCTGCCCGGACAGGACGAGCTTGGGTCGCCCCGTGCCAGCTTCCCTCCCAGCAAGGAACCAGCTCAGTGTCTCCTCAGACAGCAATTCCCAGATTTTTAAACGATTAATCCAGGGAAAATGAGCGGACACGGGCGCTCCCGGGGGCAGTTTCACAGCCCAGCGCCGCTCGGCAGGAGCAGCCTTCCAAAGGGAAACTTCAATCCTATTTTCCAAGCTTAAAGAGAAGCTTTGTACGGATCCTGCACTGCCTGGACATTATCCACAGGTTACAGATAGAATCACTGGGAATTCACTCTGCCTTCCCATGCCACGAGCCAACATTAAACTCCAAGGGAAAACACAATTCCCCAAACCAAGCGAAACGCCGCGGTACAAACCAGCCACGGCAAGAGCCCCAAAATGGGCCACGTTAGTAAAAGCCAGTTGGAGTTTAGCAAAGAGAGAGACAAAATAAGGGCTAAGCCATTGTTTCTGCTGCCGAAGACAGACGGACTTTAATAACACTTAACAGAATGATGCACATTAACGATCTCAGAAAGCACTTCTTATGCCTCATCCATCATGCGGAGGAGAAAATGAAGCCTTCGACAGCATTAGGAATTATTCTAGATCTTGTCAGTAATTCGCAGCTTCTCGGTAGTATCGTAACACAAATTTGTGTGGATGAGACACTGACCATTAATCTAAGGGGCTTTTTTTCCCTCGCTGCAGCGTGTGGAGAATGTATCAATTGTTTCATGGAGAAATTTCACAGCTGAAACCTTACTAAATAAAACAGGGGTGAGGAAAGAGATATAGACAGAAACATAAACAACTGCAACGCGGAGACAAATCATTATCTTTAAAACAAAACCTACCATAAAATCTCCATATGTGTGTTTTGTGAATGGGCAGTGAGCAGCCTCCTGCTCTGAAAATCCTCACAAAATGCTGATTATAAAGTTATGTTTGTACATACAAACACACTTTGATTTCATTTTCTGGGAGGCTTTTTTCCCTTTTTTTTTTTTTTTTCTGGAGTATAGGCAAAAAATCTCGATTTTTCCTCCCAAGAGAGCCCTGTATTTTTTCCAAATAGTAGCAAAACAAATTTCAAGACAAAATGCCACGCAACTAAATAAACAACAGCTTTTGGCAACCTCTCTCCTAAGTCGCAAGCTGCTGTTCGTCGTGTGATAGCTGTTGCCACTGGAATCTCTACTACAAAGGAAAAGGTCCATAAATATTTGTACAGCAAACTCCACAGAAAAAAAAAAAGCCTCCCCAAGTGAGCTCAGAATTCATTTCTATACGTGCGATGTAAAGATGAAAGCTAATGAGTTCTGTGGAGTTTATGATAAATTAAAAGTGCGGGCTCCCCGCCCCAGCCGCGTGTTTACACGGATCTGATCCGCTGCTCCCCAACAAAACACTTGTCAGACAGAATGAGGTGAATTCGCCTCCGGATGTGGAGGAGCTGGATTGTCTCGGGGACAAAAAAACAGATAGGATTTGATCAAATACTAATCAGGCAGCAATAATGTGGTATCCTAAAACACACCCTATTTTATCTCCAATGAAATAGTGACATCTATCCAAAAAGTCCTCAAAGAAACTTGGGTTTAGGTAATATATTGTGATTGCAGCAGATAGGCAGGATTAAAATCAGGCTTGATCTTCAAAGAGAATAAGAATGTATAGTTCTGTTTACTGCACACATATTTGTATATAAAAGATATGACAAATATTTCGAGTTCTTTAGAAACCTGTATTTCTGTATTTTGAATTTTCACAGACCAAGTGCTGAGAAAGGGATTTGACAGTCCCAGGTAATAGAGGCAAATTAGAGATTAAACTCATTAGAAATTATAAACACTCATATAGTCTGTTAAACCCCCTGACAAAACCTGGAAATTAGAAATCCAATAACACAGCATCAATAGGGTCTTTAACGGCTGGACAGATGTTTAAAGTGTGCGATGCTCGTGCGAGGAGTGAGATGGAACAGTCGGAATCGAGGTTTGCATTAAATAACACGGCATTGATGTCGGATCAGATCACTCATCTGAACTGGTTTGATCCTTTTTTTGCCATTAATTTCCATTCTCCTGTTACGGTCTAAATTTGTTATTCATTTTGCATAGTATTAAACATTTTTCTTATTTGCAAATATGCAGATGAGGGAGGCAGCTCTGGAGGGCACCGCACAGAGCAGGGCTGTGTCCAAGGGGCCACTAACCCCTGGGGCTACCCTCCACATAAAAACACTTCGAAAACAAAATATTATCTGCAAGCTTTAATTTTTTTGGCCTAATTAATTAAATCACCGAGGGAAATACTGTGAAAACAATCACCTCACTAAGCACAACTCAATAAATCCCAAGGAATGGGCACTGGGATAGCAAAAGCAAAATTGTTTGCGTTCCTAATGTTGGGTCTGACCTGGAAAGGATAACAAAAGAATCTGGCATGAATATGTATTTTTATATGGAGTGCTGCTGGTAAACAGACCGAATAAAAGAGAGGGGATTATTTTAAAATAGTTTCTCCTAAACTCTCAATATGTTTAATCTGATGATATGAAAAACCATCCATAAAGCAGAAACACATTCAGCCCCTACAAAATTCTGTACAGAGAAGCAAAAAGGGTTTCAGCAGAAGAAAACAAACAAACAGCAGAAATCCTGCAAAGCTGCGGCATCTCCCCACGCCCGCCTGCTCTCCAGCGCCGAGATAAAGACCCAATCTGCTCATCAAACACCTCCGGGCTCGGCCATCTAATAGGAACAAATTGGCAATGACTGCCCAAGCAAGTAACACAGGCCCACTGATTTGTAGATTGATACTGATGCCTAATGATCCCCTTGGGCAGATCAATAGCAACAATCCTCATCCCTGCCTTTCTTCTTTATTGGCACGGCGGAGCGAGCGGGGAATCGTGTGCGCGCACACGGCTGCAGGTGCCGGGCGAGGGTCGGGCACCCCAAAGGGCCCCGGAGCCAGCGCTGTCCTGCCCTGCTGCGCCCTCGGGGCTCGGGCTGCCCGCGCTGCCCCCGGGCACCGTGCCCTTGGCACCAGGCTGGGCCAGGTGTAGCCCAGAGCGCGGTGCAGACAGGACGGGCCTGCGGCCACGGCGAGGGAAGGCACAGACACCGGGATAATGGAAGAGGGAAAACCCAGCAGTGAGCAGCTGGGCTGCGTGAGAACTGAAGGCCGGCATGGCATTTGGGTGGCACAGCCGTGCGGGACACTGACAGAGAGCAGGGCACACAGGCGGGTGGTTCGTCCTGCTGGAACTGGGGTACCTTTCTCTCCTGCTCCATCTCTCGCCTTCTCCTTCTCCTCCCCTCAGCTGACTCCTTGTCTCTTAGTGCACTGCACTATGATCAATCAGGCACTATCAGCACAGGGGTTTTATTCAGTTACCCTGGAGTCACTTTCATCTGCTGCTTCCAGCCCCATGCCTCGAAAGATTTAGGGATTTTCTATTTATTTATCAATCTAGTGAATACGGTTATCCCATTAGTAGATCCTTTTAAAGTCCCTGGTAGAACCTAAGAAAAACTAATGGAGTTGATTTGCATTTGGTTTTTTTCCCAGTGAATTAATGCCAGTGATGCTCTGCAGAACCACACATGGTCACTGCCACCTCGGGGTGCTAGCAGACATCCCCAGCAGCACTCCACTCCCCTGGAAATCGCTCTCTCCATGGAATAACCACGTATAAACCTAGGACGTGATCAGGCATACCCAAATCGCCAGGTGGGCAAACAGAGGGGAAGGAAAAATGTACCACAAAGTTTGTGCCTCCTGAACATGAAATGTTAATTTTGCACGAAGGTGTGTGTCGTCACCGCAGTGTCCCCAGGCCGGGCGCACACCGGGGGTGCCGGGCGCGGGGAGCGCAAGCACCGATTTTAAATCCTATTCACACTCGAGATCTGCTTTGTTCAGCAATCACCTGGCTACTCTTATTCTTCATGGCTCTTTTATTAAAATGTGGATAAAGCAAAAGGCAAAGGATGAAATTAAATTCCATTGACTGTAAATTTCTAAATCATCCCTCCAATAAAGGATTTTCCTTTAATAACAAAAACGCCTTTCCCATCTTTTTGCCGATCTCGACGTAGACTCGCAATAAAACGAGGCTGCGAGAAAACCTTTGTAACTCGACCCTTCCAGTGCATAAATTAATCATTTTCCAAATCCTATCTTTTCTTTCCTTAAGTTCCCGGGCGCGGGGGTCGTGCCCCCGCCCAGACATAACCATCGCAAAATTCAAATTCCCACTAATGATGAGTGTAATCATCGCAATCACCATCACCATCGCCAGGACAGCCGGGTCCTGTTGGCCCCTGGCATCAATCAGCGATGCGGGGGGAGCCCCCCCCGCGCCCCCCGGCAGCGATCGCGCCCGTTCCCCGCGTGTCGGGGTCACCCCGCTCCCATCCCGGCCTCGCACCTCCGCCGCTCCCCGCGCGGGACGGGACGGGACGGCTGCGACGGGACGGGCGGGACGGGACCGGTGCCCCCCGTGTCCCCAGGTCGCCCCCGAGCCCCGGGTGGGAAAGGAGCGAGCGAGGGAGGGGAGCGAGGGGAGGGGGAGCAGCCGCACGTGTGACGCGCCCGGCCGCCCATTTGCATATTCACATCAGCGCCGCGCCCACTTAAGCAGCGCGAGGCGAAGGTGTCTCCTCCACCCACCACCCACCCACCCACCACCACCACCCAGCTCCCACCTCCACCTTCCCTCCGCTCCCCACCAGCCGCGCTCCCAGCCCAAAAGCGAGGGCGCGGGGGCCCGGAGCAGGGTGGGCTCAGGCTGCCTTACCTCCGCTCCCGCGCTACCAGGGATTCCCCGTGCTTCCGACAGCAATTTTGGAGAGCCATCCTTCAAGGGTTTTTACTTCTGTCTTTCTCTCTCTTCCTCCTCCTCCTCCTCCTCTTCCCGTGTTGTGACTGGGTTTATAAAAAAAATAAAAAAAGACAACTCCATGTAAGCTCGCAGCCAGGGCACGGCGAAGTCTGGGGCTCCGGGGGGAGGGAGCAGCGGAGGGAGGGTCACAGCTCCATGCCTTACAAAAGGCAACCCAAAGCCCGGATATTTTTTTAATATCGTACACAAAACGCTGCACACGTAACGCAGGCCGCAGACCTGGCGCTAATTAGGTTTTAGCCAAAAACTGTCGAGGTTCAGCCTACGGCACGAATGAAGGCGGCGGGGCTGGGAGCTCGGAGCCCTCACCTGCCCCAGCCCCCCGGAGCGGGTGCCCAGCAGGGCCAGCGTTTATGGGGCGCGTCGAGAGCTCCCACGACGGCGGGGACCCGGGGTCAGCCGGAACCACGCGGCACCGACCTGCACTAGTTCAACCCGAGCGCTGTTCCAGGGCTATTTTGGCACAAATTAATTTTACTATTTCACAGCTCCACTCACAGTGGGGAAAAAGAAAAGAAGTATTAATAATCAGGGTTGTGTATCCCCTTGCGAACGTCACAGAGCAGCATCCCGTGTGCCGGGACGGGGCTCCAGGAGCACAGGCCTATTGTTCTAAGGACACGGCTTTTGTGAGCGGGGCAGCACAGCCAGGCTGGAGCAGCAGGAGGAGGAGGAAGAGGGGAGGGAAGCCCTTGCAGAAGCACACCGTGCACCGCAGCCACGGTTTCACACCCTCGCATTAGATGTTTGCTGAAAATACACGGTGCACACGTGTGGCACTTTTTTCCAAACATGTCATTACCGGCAATGATTAAGGGCTTCGTTGCTTCCCAGTGCAAGGTCTCGGCTTGGATTGCTGACTGATGGCTGAATTCCCCCGTACACCTGGCAACCTGATTTTAGTGCGAGGATGGTGGGGGGAAATGCCCTTCCTTGAATGTTTTTTCATACGCGGAGTATTTAGGAAAGAGTCAAATTTAATTTTGCAATTGGCAAAAGCCAATGCGCTCCTAAGCTGAAGCGTGGCCAGTGGCGTTTCACCCCGAGTACATTTTCGTGGAGAAGTTACAAGCCCCGGGACAGGCGCTGTGTGTCACAGGGGCTGGGATGCTCCAGCCCCGAGCGGGGTGTCCGTGCACCAGCCCCGAGTGCGAGGGGAGCGCCGGGGCCGAGGCACACAATGGGAGCTGGAGGCTGTGAGGAGGTAGAGGGGGGTCTGCCCGAGCCCCCCCGGCCAGGAAAGCAGGTCACTCCTTATCAACTGGCTAAGCAAACGCCAAAACAAAGCGCGGGGCTGGATTTTGATGAGCCAGACGTGCTTTCTTATAAAAAATAATTTCCCTGCCTTTGTTTCTCCTCCTTCGAAGCGAGGGGAAGAGCAGGCTGCTGTGTTCACACTGGCTTTCCAAGGGAAAAAAGATTATTTTTAAGAATCTGCCCACCAAGCATGAGTTACTTGTCCTCCCCTCTCCAAAAAGAAAAAAGGAAAAAAAATCCTCAACAAGACTCAAAGGATTCCTGAAATAAAGAAGAAAGAAAAACATCCAAAACATTAGACACAGAAACATTATATTTCAATATTATCATATGAATTAAATGTAATCCTTGAAGCGACTCGTCCCAGGGGTCACATATTAGGCCATTTTTTTCTTTTTTTTTTTTATTTAATAGAGGTCACCCAGGCTGAAAAGCAGAACCCAAATGAAAAGCATCTTCAATGTGGTTATAACATGAGCTGGACGAGGTCAGGCAGTGTCTTGTATGGCCTCATAAAAAATACATAACCAGACAGCCTAATAGTATTTCTTTGCATTCATTTTTGGATGGGAGCTGGCGGGTGGGGGAGGGGGCCGGGAGAGGGCCACAACCGCCTGTGCATTTCCATAATGGGCAGCTTCTCCTACGTTCCAGTTAGGGAAAAAATGAACATTCATTTGAACACATCCCTGGTTGGCTCACTTTAAAGAACCATCCTGCAGACAATTGCTGTGGCCCTGAGAAAGTGAGAGAGGAGTGAAGCATCGCCCGTGTCACACACACACACACACACACACACACACACACACACGTGTGTTCACTGCACACATGCTACCATCATGCTTAATTGGGAGTGCAACCACCTTGGGCTGGCTTTCATCAACACCGCCTTATGGATGCTGCTGTTTGTCCATACACACAGCCAGGCTGATTAATGTGAATTATTTCTCTTCTGAAGAGAAGCAGGGGAGCCCCCCATTCCAAGGAGTGCCTCTATCCACACTCACCAGGGAGGGGTTTGCCCACCATCAGGATTTACACAGGTTTGGGGTGGGAGAGGAAGCAAGAGAAAGGCAAGGAGTAAAAGGGGAAGGGAGGTGTGTGTAAATAAAAATAACCAGTGCTAAAAATGCCGGGTGAGAAGAGAATCTGTAAATCTCGGCTCCCTTCCCCCTCCCCAAATGCCGCCTGGAGCCGGGTGACCCTGCGGGGAGCGGAGCCGCAGAGGTGACCCGATGCTAACCAGCCTGTTAGAACTAATAAGGTGTGCGCCTAAGCCAGGGGCTGACACTGGGGCATTGTGGAAATAACTCTCCTTGTTATTGCCCATCCTCAGCTTGAAATTTACTGCTCCTTTGCATTATTAAAGAGACAGCTTGCGTGCGCGATGGGGGAGAGGCTGGGCAGGAGGAAGAACCGCGCACGCTTTTTTAATGGTATGTTTGTGCTCTCTCTAGTCTTTAGGTTCCGATTCGGAGCATTAAAGCATGCTGGGTTAATAGGTTGTTATTTATTATTTGAATAAAATCTGGTTTAGAAAAATCAAAAAAGAGTATTTTCCCCCACTATGGCAAATGGTCAGAAAAAAAGGAAAGGTGTGAAACATCTCAGATAAGACCAGGCTGAGGCCTTGTGAGACAAACCCTGCCCCAAACATTTCCAGTAGCACTGCTCCATATTTACATCAGATGTGAGCAGAGCTGGAAACACCCAACATGGTGGATGATAGAGGGACTGCATGATGGAAACACAAAAGGACCTGCTGCATTGTGGGGCCATCCTCAGCAGGGCCACGTGAAAGGGTGTCAGAACACCTGAAATCATTCCAGGATTCTGTGTTCTGTAAATATGCAGCTATTTGGTATCTTGGGGTAAAGATGAACACCGGAAAATCTACTTTGTCTCTTTGTCTACTTTGCCTGCTCCCACTGCCCATCCAGCACACACCCTCCACCCTCTGAGCTGATTCCCACAACATTCCCAGCATAACAGGTGAGACTCCCTGGAGAGGGGCCCCACCAGGTATGTACATTGGCACCTGAGAGATCAGATTTTACAGAAACTGAGCTGAGCTGCTCTTTCAGATGCTTTTGCCTTCTCTGAGTCAGTTTTTACGGACAGGCATTTTCACCTTGACCTCTGAGGGGCTGCAGAGCCCATCTGGCACCAGCAGGGCACAGGCAGAGCCCTGCAGCCGCTGCTGCCAGGGGAGCCCCTACCAGAATTAGGACTCAAGTATTATTAATTTTCTGCAGCAAAGCAGCTGAGTGCACATGGGAGACATTGCTGAGAACGGGGATCAATGATAAATAACATCCTCAAGGTAAGTACAGAACAGGATTGAGCCGTTCATGGCAATCAGCCGAGCCAAGGTGGCTTCTATGGAGCTGAGCTGAGGAGTGGGTGGTTTATGGTCAGGGATTCCACAAAATCAGATACTGGAGGGATTTGAGAGAATTCTTAAAAGCACATGAAAGCCACGGCAATTCTGGAGCTGTCCAAGGCAACTGGGTTTTCCTGCATGTTCAGAGACATTCTTGGGAAAGGTTAATGTGAGCAGCTGCTGGGAGGACAGTGGGAATCAGTGATGGAAATTTGATGAGATACACGTACCTGCCATTACAAACTGAAACAATGTTTAATATGTATAGTCCTCAACGTTCAGGGACCAGAGGTGGGGTTCGAAACGAGACCCCCCGGGGCACACCGAGCTCTCTCTGGGTGAGCCAGCATGTCCCACAGCACCCTGAACAGGTCCCAGTGGGAACGTGTCCCAAACCACCCACACACAGCACACCCAGCCAGAGTCATGGCACCAGTGCACAGAGAAGGCTGAAACAGTACTAAACATCGTGGGAACAAAGTACAAACTAAAAGCTTCAGAGCAAGGGGTAAGTGCCAGCTAAGGCAAGGAAACAAGATCGAGGCTTTTGAAAGCACCAAATATAACAAAGGAATTAAAGCTGATACCTGACAAGGAGGTAGAAACAAACCAGAAGCCTCACTGCCCCCTCCCAGTTATTCCCTTTCTGGCATCCTGATTTTGTGAATCATCCAGAGCAGCCAAACAGGTCCTATCAGCACCTGAACACACAGACATTTCCAACTCCTCCATCCCCAAAGGATAAAGTAACTTTTATCAACACATTATTACATGGCTGGACTTGCCTACACTGTATTTGATCATTTTTGCATACACACATTTTTAATCCTATCCCTCCTATAAGGAATAATAACAGCAAAGAGCTTGATGCTCCACATCTTAGTTGGAATATCCAAATGTTTTAGGGTAAAATCAAAGGTGTGGAGGCTCAGAGGACTGTGTTAAGCAGCTCTTGTGCTCAGCCTTCAGGTGGTAAAGCTTAAGTAACGAGAGTATTCGAACCGTGACAACACTCTACTGGATTTAAAAATACAATTTTCAGAACTGATTGCCAAACTCTGATCTCAGGAGTATGCCCATTTTTTTTTTCAGTTCTACCAGCTGATCCCATATAAAGTACTATTTCTCCTTAGAAACCTAGGCAAAGTCAGGCTGCCAAAGAGAAGCTGGATTGGAGGGTTTCTAATCCCCCACAGCTCTCACAGCAATGTCCTCTTGAATGGACATCAAAACCACACTTAAGAAAACAACAGCCCAAATTATTCCTGTGTAACCGGCTGCATCAGTCCCCCCATAGGGCCCTGTAGTATTTACCTGCCTCACTTCTTGAAACTCTTCAAGGATTCTCTAGCCATTCTGGA